GGAAAAGTGTTCGATCGCTGGGAAATTAACTGTATGTTCTCGATGTTCCAAACTAATGCCCCAGTTCACCACAGGGGTGTGGAAAAATGTTAAAATTTGTTTATTTAAATCGAAGCTACCGTACGTATAAACACTCGAATTTGTCTTACTTGCATATAGCTACAGACTTTGGTGTGCAAGTGGGAGGTCGAGTCGACGATCGGCAGAGCCATTGTCGCGACACAGGGGCTCTTTAAAGCTTTACACTCCTACAAAATTGGTTACAAAGCCGAGAATCTCCACTTCCACCCATTGTTTCTCCTACATTATGCGCAACCTGTCGTGACAGAAAGTTGTTGGAACTTCGAAAATACGATGTAAGATTCATGTTATGCTAACCTACACATTGCACAACCGGAGATGCAGGCGACCTCCGCGCCTGACGTGCTTATTGTCCCTCTTCTGCATTGGTTTTAATCGTACTTGGACAGCAAATTACACGCTTTACTTCTGTCAGTTCTGTCGCCAATCCGCCAAACCGGGGACCAAACGCTGCCACTTCCGAGGTCGTCAGATACACATCTACACCGCTTCCCTCGGTCAGACCCTCTTCTAGGGGGGAGGACGGAGCACAAATCAAATACGGAAGCTGGAGCAGTCACCAAAAGGAGGACTAACTAGATCATCAGGCGTCCGGTAGTCTTTCGAAAAGGCATCAACAACCGGCTCATCACATTAAAGTTACGACTGCCCGGGAAAAAATACCACAGATAACACCACCTGTGCAGAGAGAGGCGGAAGAACAGTAGAAGCACCGGTGGGTCTCGCCTCTAAAAGACCTGGCCAGAAAACGGTCTCCGTATCACAGACAAGACGTTCGGCCTGCAAGGCGACGGCACGGTCATGATGCTGGTGACGGTCGTGGGAAGGGAGCTATGACGAGGACAGCAGGTTGCCCTGTAGTTTTGCTGGAGCGAAGTTGTGCTAACAATGGCTTATGATATGAGTTGGTCGAGCTGCGCCGAATGCGCCTGTGGCAGACCTTAGACGTGGGCTTTCACGCCACGTCAACCACTGTGCCCTCTCCTCCTTTCCATCGGCTGTCAGGCTCGGTCAGTCGACTGGTGCGTGACAGAGGGTAATCAGATTTAGGCCGATACGGGGGAGAGAGAGATTCATTATAGGACGACACATGAGCACATTCTCCATTATAACAGACCTGACGTGTTGAAGAAGGAGACATGGTCGCTGGGACAAGAGCTTTATTAGCCTGACGTTTCGGATTCCTGCTCGAATCCATCATCAGAGAACAGCAGATAAGGGTGGTTCATGCATATG